AAAATCAGAATTTTAAAAAAATAATTTTCCACTACCGTCAGCTGAAACCTTTTCTTCGACAACTATTGTACTTGATTTGGACATTGCCAGAACCGATATTTACAGTTTAAATCTAATTAACCACAGTTGTATCCAGGCAAGGTAACATATTTTATTTCTAACAGGCTATCAACGACCGAAATTATCCATGTCTCCTATAAGCCAGAATTATCATTGGTCCGTCTCAAATAATGTATTTGGCTAAGGTACATATGACTGTCGAATTTGCCTTCCATAATAAAGCCACTCCAGAAGATTAGTGACCTGATCTCTGTAATTAATCACGGATCACCGATTACAGAGAAGACCAGCTCATTGTCTATCATGTATATTGACATCTGGATGGCAACCGATCACAGAACTTGCCGACACTGTCAGTATTCTGTTTCAGCGCATCCTAGATGAGATGGATGTTCGTTTGCATAATATATCTACATTACAAATAAGTTATATCCAAACAATTAAGCGCCACTTTACACTGAAATCAGATTTCAAACTGAGTGTAGTCTTATAAATATTTACGAGTGAATCAAGACACATAAGCTCTGAATAAAGACCTCCAGGAAGAGTAAAGTTGTTTTTCTGTGAATAGGATTGTGATTTTAAAGAAGGAAGATGTAGAGACTAAAGCTGTGCCAAGGAGACATTTTAATTTATGTGACGTTGTTTAGCACTGGATCAAAACTGCCTCGACAATGAATGCAAGACTGATGCTCACATCATCCAGTTCTTCATAGGCGCCGAAAGAATAAGTCCGATCCCTATCAACAGGAAGTAGGATCTACTAATAACAGTAACTTGAAGGATCTGCCGGAAACAACAAAAGCTGTTCTCGAAGGAATATTTGCATCCAAGAAAGGACTGAAAACCTGGCCTTTGAGCCATTGAAAATTATGCACCTCAAAAATATCATAGACTTTGCTCTACACCCCAAGCCCGCTAAAAAAAAAAAGAACAAAACAGGAACGATCCCGATTCGCTCTGATACAAGCTAATCTCACGAAATACTTATAGTAGGAAATGCAAATGAATAGTTTACTCTATTTGGATCCGTACTTTTTATGAACAAAAATGTGTTTGCTTCGAATTTTAAATGGAGTGCATACATGTATGTAAACATGTCATTTGTTCTGTTAATTTGCTAAAAATATGATGCACAAAATATAAAGTCACTCATATGTAGCTGAAATTTTGAACTGAAAATGAGACATGTTATTGATGAAATAAATTACCTGGCATTACTCAGCACACTTGTTACATATAGATGTTCATTTATTTAATTGCAAAATATATGTCGAAATGATAATTATGTGATTGGGAGCTCCTAATTAAACACAGAATGAAGATTTTAATGTCAGGCTAAATTGGTCTCAATAGTAACCTAAATGCAATCATTTTTTTCCCTTTGCAAGTGATTACAACTATTTAATCACTTCGAACTTAATGCAGCTGTAGATATAAACTATTATAGGCAATTATATTTATTAAAATGAGGTTTTTATATATTTGTGTTTTATAAAAAAAAATAAACTAGAGTAATTTTGCTATATGTTTGGCTGGCATTTTGTTTACCTTGCCCAACACACATGCAGGCTCAACATTTTTGACTATTTTTGCTACACCATTGTTCGGTACATTATGTAGTCAGCAGTTATGGACCCCGACTTCCGCGTTATAACGGGTACAGGTGTATCAGGATTGGCGCCGAATTCGGTAAATTATTAAGTCACTACTTAAACGGAAGGCACGCTGATTGTATGGATGTAACTGTAGAGAGGCTGGGAGGGCGTACGTATTGGGTATTATTGAAGAGATATTTGTTACTACAAAACAAATTGGTTTCTTCTTTAACTACGTTACCTGATCATAACATCTTAGGAGAATAACTATGAGGTGGAGGGAGATACACCCTTTAGCCAGGAGAGACCATCTTTGGTCCAATAAGGTATGTAAAACAGCTTCTAGATAATCCGACTGGAGAACAGAAAAGGGAAACTTTTCCCTTCCGCAAATCCAGCTACAGCTAAAGGTCCGACCAGATCAAGTTTAGGATGAAAACCTCTGACATAAAAGCTGGAGGTGTGGACTTTCATCTCCATCCCACTGCAGGGATCATAACTGAGCAGTGTCGCTCAAATTCAATGTTTACGGCGATTACCCTAACTTCATGAAAAGTGATGTGAAGTAAATTCATTTTCTTTGGGGTTGTTTTCCAATATGTGGAATTAATAGCACACTTTATCCAGGGCGAAAGTGTATGTGCTGATATGTCGTCCTTTCTCATTGTAAGGGTGGATTGTCCCATATAAAAAAGGAAGCTACCTATATACTGATTTCAATGATGATAGAGACATACTACGTTTACTTGAGTGTTGAACTTCATACATATATAACAAACTTCTTGAGATAGTATGAGGTCTGATATGTCTTTGTTGACAAGGATGCTGGGGTTGAGAAAAGGAGTAACATAAATTTTCACGTCTTGCTCTAAGATACAAATCACCTGATGACTTTGTAGAAAATAGTCTTGTATGCAAATGAAGGAACTTCCTGGAAGCCATGTGAATGGTGTCATGAAGCTACGCATCTTTTAAGTCCACACTGATTGCGTAGTGTCCTTACTGGATGGTATTTAGAAAACGTGGTTTTTAATCGTGAACCATGAGGTGCAAATGAGCTGACAAGGTGCGATTAAATCAATGACAAGGAAAAGAGAACTTCGTTTACAGCCAAGGGAATAATGGATACAGTTGTTGTTGTTGGGCTTAACGCCATTTTTTCAGCACACAATATAGGTGATACAGACCTCACTTGTCGGGTCCATAGGTTTTAATGGCAAATTGCCAATTGTCAGGGAAGGACAGGAACCTATTTATTAAGTTTATTATTCTTTGTATATAGGTAGCAGTAGGTGGGGAACTGACAACCTCACATTTCAGTATAAGTGTACATTACGGAGAATAATGATTGACACTATTATAGGGTATTTTGTTATAATTCTTGGAAATCACTTGTCTGGTCCATTGATCGTCACAGCAAATAATTTCATTTGTCAGTGAAGGACCAGAGCCTTTGCCACACTGGAATTTATGATAAGGGTTTCATGAAGATGTCATTTATTATTGAGAGGTCTCATGGACAGAAACGCTGGCAAAAATGATCACCCTCTCTCTGCCTCATCCCCTTCTGTACTTTTCAATGGTTGTAAATTCGGTAGGATGCTCACCATGGACACACCTAAAACATTTTTGTGATTCTGTTGGAAGATTTTGTCAACCTGCTCATTAAAGAGCAGGTTAGATGATAAAGGATGCTAACATAGTTTGGTCTTATGATGGACTTTAAGAATGTTGGATGTATTGAGCACTGCATCTTGTTCCATGTGTTGTACATTCATAATTGCTGGCCACAGTATGGTGGATTTCATTGCTCAATGTTATTCTAGAAACAGACTGTCATGCATGTTTTGGGTGATTTGGGGTGCGAAAAGATAAATTGTGTTTTGCCTGTTGAAAGACTGCCAAAGGTTCTAGACCTAACATCAAGCCAATTGTCACAAAGTTGCACACCAACTACTTAGTGTCATTACATGGCTTCCAATCCATCTGTATATAGAATTAACATCGCCAAAAACGTGATAGCTCGGTTGCCTGTTGGGTATCCAAATGGTAAACTGTTAAGTGTGTGACTTGTGGAATGACCGACTAAAGCTTGAAAAGGTGTCTGCAAGAAAAAGTCAGTTGACACCTGAAACTTGTAACTGACAATGTAAACAGCCCCGAATGTCAGAAACTCAGCCAGACTGTGGATGTAACTGAAAGTATATTTTTTTCTTAGTCAATAATGAACTCATGCCAGAACCATACACCAGGCAGATGTTATAAATGTTATTCATATTCTTTGGATACTGGTGGCAAACTCTTCTGATACCTGTGAAGTAACTGTAAAGAATGTCAAGGATGGTGGCATTATACATGCAGCATGTCATCAGTCACATGTGTGATTGCCAAGCTGTCTCTAATTATATACAATTGATATTTCTCTAGTACACATAATACATACACTTAAAAACTCACTGAAGTGAACACTATAATATCAATTGTAAGACAATGTCACCTTTAGGAAAGGCCAAATGATGGCAAATAAAGGGTAAAATCAGCAGAGCATCACATATATAACTATGAAGTGGACACTAAGACTAGATTAATATAGAAAATTTACTTCTGTGTACCGGACCACAGTGGAAATTATACAGCAATATTATATGAGTTTTGTATATCTCACTCCAGACCTACATCTATACAACTGTAGCAGTGGGATAGGACAACATCATGAAATGTGCAGGTACATATCAAGGGCACCTAAGCATGTGAGGATGTTAAAATTATGGTCTTAAAAAACCATAAACTTTGTTGCCAGAAAGAAAGAACATAAATTTATAGACGGAGTGTAGTTCCCTTTGAGGAGAACACTCCTGAAACTTCCTTTTAGGTAGAAAACTTCCAAAATGTTTGTATGCGGATTGGGAGGCCTCTCTGAATGTAGAGACTGTGCTACTTGGCACATGGGGAAGTAATAACTAAAAAATTAACTGCATTTGGCAAAAATCCATGTATCTTAGATGGGCAGATAACTTTTAGTTTTTTGGCTATAAAGTATTAGTCTGTGAGGACTGGAATTCAGAGGTAGTGGTAGTTCTCCTATGGTATTATGTGAGGGGATGTGATGTGATTATGATTTTTAACACAGCTTTAACAATTTTTCAGTCATATCGCTACAATGTCTGCAGTGTGGCAGTTTATAGTGATGTCTAGCACTGGGGAATCATGCTGCAGACATGTAGCATGATGTCCCACCCAGTCACATTATCCTGACACCAGGCCGATCAGTCCTTACACTAACCTCTTAATACTGAGCGCCAAGCGAGACAGCTGTTAGTACCATTTTTGTAAGTCTTGTCATGACTCAACCGGGGATCGAACCCATGACCAGTTCCGCATCCAAGGCGGATGCTCTAACCACTAGGCCACCAGAGCGGTCCTATTGTATTATGATCAAGTAACATGTTTGAAAAAAGTGTGTGTGTGTGTGATGCTGATGTAGTAGATGTTATTGTAGTTAAAAGGATACAAAATATCTCTACATTTTCAAAATTGAACAGTAGTGAATAGTCTGATTCTTAAACAGCTGAAGAATTTCTCAAATTTGAGGATATAATACATTTCTTCAGTTGCAAGAAAAATTTGTTTCAAGGTAATTCAAGATGTTTTACTTGCTTTCAATTCAAGGTAATTCAAGATGTTTTACTTGCTTTCAATCAAGCATTAAGAAAGGTATGCAATATGTTTTTTATTTCTAAGATTTTAAAAACTTAGATGAGAAAGTAGTGGATGCCAAATATAAAATGCAAAAGTCATTGTATTTTTATTACAATTATTCTTTTTACTAAAACATAAACACATAGATAACAGGTAGAAATGACAATACTTATGTTGCATCGATCATTTCCCATCATCAATACCTAGAAAAACTAAATATAAATCCAAATACAAGTTTTAGATATGTTTTAAAGTTTGCTACAGACATGTTATCATACATTTTAAATTGCTAATAATTTTCATTGAAAATGCTAAAATTTCATTTGCATATCAGATTTGTTATTAATATTTACTTTATTAGACATAAATATGCACACACACACACATGTTCTATACATAAAGATTACAGCCTACCGAAGGTATAAACAGCAACATTTAATTCATGTTCAGTTCACAGTCCAATTCTACCTCCTTCCCATGCAAATAGTCTGAGCAGACACTAATTTGAAAATCTTTATATTTTATACCAAAAAATCCTTTATTCTCTATATTTGATTATTCATCTTTCCAGAAAACAAGGCTTGTTCAAATACCATAAATGTTACAAAACTTACAACATTCAGCAAATAAACTCATTGATTCAAGATCTCAAAGTGACTTTAAAGAAGTGAATACATGCTTGATACATTTCCAATGCATGTGTCTTATAAAAGGTCCAAAAATCATTGATAGAATTTCAATGAATTTGAATCAAATTTTTCCTTTTATTGAAACTCTTGGCTATGGAAAACTGACAAATTTTCAAAACCTCAAATTCAGTAGAAAACATTTTCATACATATTTGCTTAGTAAGATCAAAATAACTGGTTCCATTTTGTGACACTTTAAAATTTCAATTTTGTTTTTAAATTTCAGAAATGAATAAAGTTTTGTTCAAAAAAAACCTACACAAGTTTATTTTTTCAAGTGCAAGAGTAAAGTCTGTAACTTTTGACACTTTTAAAATATTCAATATTATTTGTTTTCTGAAAGAATCATAGGGACTGCAAACTCACTACCTAGCCCACCTAATATCACCAGTTTGGTAAAGTGATGTAAAGAATCTTACAAGGGCACTGTAAGATGATAAGGTGGAAAACTCATTATTGGTACATATTGTCTTAACCTCACTAATCCTATATTTCATCTTTAAGATAATAAACAAAGGTATCCTTTTGGGAGTGCAAGATGTGAGAGTGTGCTTATATAATTTAGACATTAAAGCCAAGATTTAGGAAATATAGAGTTAAAAAATGAATTTTGAATTTGCATATAAAATACATTGGTATTTTTGGAAACCACTTTACAAAATATGCATGCCACATACATTAATCATAAATAAATATAATGGAGAGGAAATGTATGCATTAGAAAATAATTAAATCTTGATTTAAAAAAGGATTTGAAGAAAATATAAACTGCTTTTCAAAAGTAAAGTATTATAGCTAATTTCAACCTCTGACCTAGATTACAAGAATCATTCCTTACTGCTAACTATAATAGTTTAACCTAATGGTACTAGTATGTTTCCGTTGCCCATTTTTCAAATTAAAAATCAAGGTCAACTAGGAGTACCAGCAAGAACTCTTTTAACTGACATCATCACTATCATACAAAAATATAATGGAGGAGAAAAGCTTATGTTTTTGTTACTGATAAAGTAATATATTTTAACATAAATCAATAAAGGTAGTGAATATAAGTATAACAAAAACACTCTACAGTGCACTACAACTCATAACTTAGGTGAGCACATTTAGGCTTCTATCCTGAGATTTAGGCTTCTATCTTAAAATTTAGCCTTCTATCTTGAGATTTAGGCTTCTATCTTGAGATTTAGCTCAAGGGCAAATAGTAAACATGAATAATGGCATCATCACTTCTGTAAAAACAGGCAGACAGCAGAGGACATTCACAATTGTGACCCAATTGCATTGACAAAGGAAAATGAAGTTCAACTTATTGTTTTGAGATACCTTATATTAAATATCTTTATCTTGTATGGCTCATGCAGTTTAATGAATGAAAAATTTGCCAAGAACTGTTCTATCTGACTATGTTTTCATCTCAATGTAATCAATCTTCATCAATATTATCATATATATAATTGCTTATTATAATTAGTCCTTATTATAATTAGTCCTTATTATAATTAGTCCTTATTATAATTAATCCTTATTATAATTAGTCCTTATTATAATTAGTCCTTATTATAATTAGTCCTTATTATAATTAGTCCTTATGCAAACAACATAGACTCTTATCTGTCACTGTATAATACACATGCAGATCAGGGCCTATGTTGGTTGTTTTACTGATTATTCTTTACAAACTAGAGACCCAGATCTGCCCACACATTATATGATGGCAGATCTGGGTCTATGAAGTTTGCAATTAGACATGATTTATAAGTATGCATTTAGTTAGCATATTTCCAGTTTTTCTCACTAATGAAGGCTAACCGTTTGGTACAATTAATGAACTACAAAAGCTATTTGCAATGAGTGGGATGATTATAGCCAGTATGCCTGTATTATCAAGTCAAAGGTTCCATTTTTAGAATTTATCTGGCAGGAACACATTAGGGTTCTGCACTACAAGTTCTCTTTACATTTGCTTAACAGTTATAAATGCACATTTATTGTTAGGCTCCTTATTTCTGCTTTAGAACTTGCCTAAATTAGTTTTTTTATTACTGTTCAGTGTCAACTGAATCACAATGAACCAAAGGCATAATTTTCATCAGTTCTTAAAGGTGCTCATTCAGTTTGCTTACACTGTGATGTAATAGGCAGATAGGTCTATTCACCCCTTACATGCCTTTGACCTTACTGTCATCCGATCACTGGGAAAATCATTGCATACAAAAAAAATGGAACATGTCTTTGCAGGTATCTTGAGTTTCAAATCACTATGCTATATACTGTCCCTGGAAGAATGTTGTCCCTGACTTTTCATTTAAAACTTGTCAAAGTGAGAGCTATGGGCGGCCACATATAATTTATGACTACAACTGTTGTACATGGATTACATGTTTGAACATCAATGCAATTTAATGAGACCACATAAACATAATTTTTAGGCAAAATGTTTGTTTGACACTGTTAAGCTTGAACACATCACCAAATACACTGATCCTACTTTGATCATCCGTAATCATGACAGGCTAAAGAGGTTGCTCTAAACAAAATACAAAAGAAGCTGAGTGTGGCTACTGTTTCCAAAAATGTATAGGTAGCACTGTATGCTATAGACAATAACATGACTAACTGCCACTGTGGTGCCACAGTCAGGTAAGTACCCATTATGAGTAACCATTACAAGTCCCCATTATGAATAACCATTACAAGTCCCCATTATGAATAACCATGGCAGTCCCCATTATGAGTAATCATTACAAGTCCCCATTATGAATAACAATGGCAAGTCCCAATTATAAGTAACAATTACAAGTCCCCATTATGAATAACTATTTCAAGTCCCCATTATGAACAACCATTTCTTCTTGAAAGCCAGCAGTTATAAATGTACACAGTCAATTCAAAAGACCTGAATTGTTTCTTTATCTGTTGTGATAACCTGCACAATGCTGAATAAGTAATGAGAAACCATCTTACCTTGCTCTAACTTTGGCATGACAGTTACTGCTTTAAATCATTTGTCTGTGGAGTTACAATAGTTATCAACTGGAGTGTAATACGTCTTTGTCCTTTTCACTTAAAAAATATTTGTATTTTCTAGATGAATTCTATTTGACAGTCATTGATAGGATAGATTTCCTTTAACTTTATTGATGTTAATATTATTAAAACAAAGATCTCAGCACCTTAGCCTTTACTTTATTGACTATTCACATTATGGGTGACTGGCTGTAAACAAATGTCTTGAATTGTCATACCTGTTGACAATTTTACATGATTTAAGTGTTACCAAACAAATTCTGATGTATATGATGTTGCATGTACCATAATGCCAACAGACTACATATGAATTCATGTAAAAGTTTTTATGATCAATGGATTTTTAGTACTATAATAATTTTTGGTTATAGACAAAAAAAGCAATTCATTTTAACATAAACTATGAATAAAGAATAAAATTAAAATATATCAATTATGGTGTTTTTTTTTTCTTCTTAGACACAGTTCAACTTCTACCTTGAAAAATGATCCTACTACATGGGCCTGTTGTTGGGCAACTACTGTTTTTTATGCATACAGGGTATTCTCTCAAGATAGTTTGTAGTGAATTTGCAATTATGTGGCATTTCAAGGAAAGAGAGGTAAGTCTTGTTGATCACAACTTGTCAAAACAGAGTTAACTTCTCTTGAGAAAAGACAGATCACTTCATGTGTCCTGTGTGTTTCAGTATTTCTGCTGCCAATGATGTCAGAGATACATCAGCATGTGAACTGAAAATGAAAAAGAACCCTTCATTCTTGTAATCAAAAGGTACAAAATTAATTCATTTCACTGCATATATCAGAATCTTATGTCTTAACCGGATTGGATAACATTATTTTTACAAAGTCTGAAAATGATGCAAAATGAATTCATTGCCTCTATTAGCACCACATAAAATTCTATTTAGCACCCAGCAAAGTAAGTAAAGTCTCTTGCCCAAAAACACACCAGTACAGTTGATCTGAGTTAGTCTGGCACGGGTTGAAATCTAGAGCATAA